CTATAGCGACCATTGCCGTTAGTGTCTTATCATTCCTCTCAGATCGTCTAAACACATAGGTAACCTTATTAGCAGTCGTTCCAATTCCAGTCATAATAGGGTATGCCATAGTAATTAGAACTGCTAATATTGCTGCTAGCTACTTTGCCATGTTCCTTGTTACTTCTAGTACGTTTGTCGATACTCTTAGACGCGATTTTCCATTATAATAGCTACTGACAGAAACCATTTATAGGCATCTACATCTTCAATTACCTTGTTTTGACGTGGATCTCTATCAATTTGGCCCTAGACTATAAGTAATCCGTTAGTATTCCAATCTTCGTGTCTGTTGCCAATGTCTCCGGTGTCCTATCATCAAACATTTATCCTGCTACAGATGCACCTAGATACATTATCAGAAACTCTATATCGCTAGCCTGTGAGTGTATTGCTCTGCTTAGAGTAGGGGCTATCTATTTAGTGCTACGAAGCTGCAATATAAAGAAGGAGAAGCTTATTGCAGATGGAGAGACGGAAAATGGCAAAGAAGGGGACAGAGGATTATATTTCAAGTATCTTCTCTAAAAGGGAGGCTGGCTACACTATGCTAGCTAGAGCATAGCTTTAGCCCTTAAATTTGGCCTCAGTCGTCTATCCTTCTAATTGATATGTCCTAGCAAAGTTGAAGTTCTTAGAACAACACTTACGACTTTTATTTAGCTACTTAGCCGCTCCGTCATGTAGCACATAGGCTTAGTAGCCTACTCAAATCTAGTGATCTTGCCGCCTATCTTTATACAGTATTAGATTAATGCTGACGATAGCTACAGGTCGTAAGCGATGCAAACGCCTTCCGCCTCCTAAACTGCTTAACGAAAGACAATCTTCAAGGATCTCATATTGTCTATAACGTACTAGACTTATTTTCCCCAACAGCTGTAATGGAACTCTTAGATTAGGACCTGCTTCGTATTGCAGTAGAGCTATTATAGTAAAAGGAAAAGCCAGCTGCAATTTAAAACCTAACTCTCATAGCCGTCAATCACTAACATTCAATATACGCTAGTTCTGCAATGACTAGTATGTTTTTCAAAATGCTATATTTAATATAGGCTTATCTCGTTGTTAGTCTATCCATTAATAGTACTTTTAGGTCTCTAGCGCCATCCAGACCTTCATGGGACTCCTCGCTAGTGATTGCATGATGTTTCTCCATTAATGCGCGCTTACTATACAATAGTATGTAAGTGATTAAACAAGCAGTCGAAAAGAACACAAATCATGCTTCAGGCAAAATCTAGAGTAGATTTTCGGGGAAAGTGGAGATCGGAGCTTTAGACTCGTATAAGCAACAAAAGAGCCTTAATAAATTACAAATCACGGATATCTACTATTTTCGTAAGTATAGAAGCTGTCCTTATTACACTCATAGAGAACAAGCAAACGATCGTCGTTAATAGGTCGAGGCCCCTAACGTAATCTAGCGTAAGCTTTAGGCGAATACGCAGCCATAGGTTAGCTGCACATAAGAAGTGAGTACGCAGTTACAGGAGAGGTGTTAGTACAGGGCTCAGGTGGATTTAAAGGTTAAATTAACCTTCTAGCCTGTGTCGTGTTTCGCAATTCCAAATAACTCCTAAACGAGTCGTACTGTTCTTCATCTAATTCCAAATCTAACAACACCATCATAACCAAACCTACAATAAAAATACATCCCACATATTCGGACAGTAACCTAAAATCCCGTCACACAGTACTCCTTGTCATCATTTCGATCCCACTTTTACAGCCTTATATCCCGTCTTGTGACCATGCCGTTGTATCTCAGCGGTAGGCTGCTAGGGATATCATGCTAATATTAATACTAGTATGGCGCCACCTGCTACTCGAAACGGCCATCGTTGTCTGTAGTATACTGCTCATCGTGCGTTAGATCATGCCTATCACTTAGATTAAACCGTTCGCTAGACAGTGCGCCGTCGTACGAATAGTCAAGTCGTAGATCTTCTTGCTAATCATACCCTTCTTCTAGATTCTGTCTCGTACCATGTAGAGATCGGGGTTCACGAGAGGTAATGTCGGATATAGGGTTGTTAACGATCATTAAATATAGCACATCTGAATTTGCCCTAATGCTCTTAATGGACTTCAAAAGGCCCTAGTCCTTCCTATTTGCTATGGATGAGCTAGAGCCATTCACAATACCCTGCACACCTAATATAAGTCGAGGGCGCCCCCGTCCGAAACTTCCGCTATAACCGGACCTCTCCGTTAGATTTGAAACAAGTCCGTGTATAAGGTGCCCACGTTCGTTTCCATTGTCCTTTAGCCCTCTACAGCCTTCCTTTTAAGCGTTTCGTTCCTCTTTTCTCAATCTTTTGCTCGTTTCTTTGTCACTCCGTCAGTCGTTTCTAGATATTGTCAATAGTAAGCTGCTATTATTGTTAGCTAACGTTGGGTTAGCGAAGCGGTTACTGAACTTTAGAGCTGGTCTAGCAAGGGGTAAGCCTAGATTATCTTGCGCCTAATGATATGTTAGACGACCTACTACTTAGTCCACAGAGTAAACACTTACAAATCGTGCCCATGCTCAACAGTCATGGTAGTTAGAGATAAAATCGGTGATCTTGTTAAGGCAGTTAGATGGTTTATTAGTAGGAAGAGATCCAGCGTCGAAAAAAATTAGAGGAGACGCCTTAGGCATTTGGAATCCTTAGGGTCGAATATTTTCTGGATTTTCGAACCTGTTTGCTGCAGTGTCTTGCAATTGCAAAGAAGAAATTGAATTGGTATTGACAATCGTGCTGGATTGCTCTAGCTTGTATGTCATAACCATAGCAAACAATCCATAGGGGACGAAGAGCTCTTCGTTCATTCTATCCAAGTATGTCTTTGTTCTAAACGGAGATTAAGCCATCAGTATAGGTGTCTAGATCTTTCAAACACTAAGTAGGCTTACTTATAATTAGTCTGAGATTGTTTTGCATATTGTACAGCAATTAGCAGAGCAGTTGAAATGACGATGGGCGCGATTCCTAGAGTAAATCCCACTCGAAGCGCTGCCACGTTAACAGCATCTAGGTAAGGAGAAGACTGTTAATCAAATGCTAGTAAGCGTTAATCGGTTATGGAACAATATTCGCCACCAGGCATAAAATGAAATTAACAGACCTAGCTCTCTCTGTTAAATGACTCAATAAACGACAGAAATGTTTCTTGATCAATGCTGCAACCTTCGAGGGCGGGAGCATACACCCTAGACTAACCACGACTTTTATTTTCTAGCCTACGCTAAGGGATAACAACGGGATATAAGAGGCCTCCTTAAGTTAAAAGCTGTTCTGAGCGAAATTGTTGCCCGTCGTAAATTTCGTTGCCGGCCTCATTAAACTCTGTTCGTGCATAGTTCTCGTTACTAAAGTGCGCAAGTTGAGACTGCTGAAACCCATCTAGGCTTCTTAAATGGTGGTTTGCTCCTTCTTATTTCAGTATTTGGGAATTTAAAGTTGTCCTATAGTAGAGAACCTACTTTCGTATCTTAAAGAGTCGTAGACCCTTAGGGGTTGTAAACTCTAGGCCGAAGCAGCTTCTATAGCAAGGCTAATGCCTAATGATAGGAGACCTCTTAGTTTCCCCATAGCTCCTAATATAGGCAGAGTCTTTTTGATGAGGAAAGAGATAGGTTGGCGTATCTAAAAATATGACGTAAATTAAAATAGTAGATAGGTAAAATATGTGAATATAAGGAACACCTAAGGAAGCACTTACAGCAACACCCACTGTTATATAGAATGGAATTGTGTACTACTGCGAATATTTGCATTTGCTAAGGCTCTATAAACACTAGTTCTAAATAGGGACATTAAGACGTAGCAATGCCACAAAAATGATTACTCAAGAACATCATAGCAGAAGCCTAAAATGGAAACAGGTTCGTTAAGGTAGCTTAGAGGTCTTAGCGTCTAGATTCCTCTCTAGCTTAGCAACTAAAGGTACGCTATTGCTCACATGCAAAACAAGAAAAGCTAGGAGTTACTAGAGGAAATACGCAATAGAGCCGCTAGGAAGTACTCTATTTGCGCGCACTTTGTTTAGTGTGTCCCACGACTCCGTGCTACATATGAGGCATTCGTTCTAGACTACGAGCCTCTAGCCTTAATTAGCATAACGGCGTGGATGCAAGGCGCTAGCGTAGCCAAATCGCACACTACAAGCCTCTACCCTTAAATGGCATAACCTAGGGCTACCACTCGCTAGCCTAAATGTTTTACTGCCTTCCTTTAATATTGCCCACTGTCTTCCAGCCTTTTCATCCGCCCTTAAAGCTACAACTAATGACAAACCGCGCCCCTTAACGGGTCGCTAAGTCCGTAATGATACACCATATCGTTAATGAAATTATTTTCAGGCTCTAAGCTCAATCGTATGTCCTGATGAGCTCCACAGATCTATTTAAATTCCTAGTGTGTAATTTTGCAAGTGCACATTTAGAGGTATTCGCAACTGTTGTAATTGCTAGGTTCAACGACGTAGTCCCCTTATAAGACTTCTAGTTATTATCTAGTTATTATCTAGTCCGGTTTCAATTTCGTTAGAGTAGAGCAAATAAAACCAGATGAAGCCCTTTAAAGGCCTCCTAAAATCATTTTGATGTTTGAAAGTACTAAGTTGTAATATTAGAGTAAAATAAAATTATATGACATGGAAATCTATAAGCGTATATTAAGTTTATACCCTAACGCCAATCCCGTCTAAAGCGCTATGAAGCTAAAGGAAATCAACCTAGTCTAGCTAAATCTACAGCTAATATTTATTTTGTAGCGAGGAGTAACAATTACCTCATCTTCCGCAGAAGCACAACCTCCGTAGTATCCCTCTCATTTCGAAATAGTGAGCCTAATAATAGTATACATTACCACCACGACAAACTCCTCAACGAGAGCCATGTAGAGCTTAACGACAGTATTTCCCCCAGCTATAGAGAAAGACTTAAACGTCATAAAGACAGACAGAATACTCTAAAGTAGCCTCGCTACAATAAAAGGGAGCGCAACAGCAACAGTAATGTAGACACGGCGCTCCCTAGTTGGTGCTCTATGCACATCCCGAGCAGTAATGAGGGTCAAGAACACCAGAAGCAAGTAGACAACAATAAATATCGCAATGCCGATCTTAAAGTATTTAGGACCGTCGCTGCGGCTTGACAGGTTAGATGAGGCCTCGTCTATGCTGCCGACGATACAGAGGATAAGAGCGATTGTTGTGGGCAATTGTGCGATTTGAATGATACAGCCTCGGCGGGAAATGGCGGTAGCGCGTTTAGTAATGATACCACTCCTATAACGGTGTGTTAGTTCAAGTGTGGGCTAACAGTAAAGGAGTAACATACACTTTTCTAATAGCACCAGCACTAGCTAGACTGTTCATGTACCCTAATGACGAATTAGACGGTATGGTGAGGGAGACTTCATTAGTTCTAAAGTCGGAGTTAGCGTATATTCGTCACTTAAGGTTCCGTCGTAACTCACATTCTCTTTAAAAGACCTAGTGTGGCCATAAGTAACGGACTGAGACTAACGGATTAGAGAATAGCTGACCATTCCTGATCCGTCTCATTGTTAGGGTTCGCCTTACTAGCAATTCTAAAGCCAGCACCTACGCATCGGACGCCGCAGAATATCACTAGGTAGATCCATCTAAGCTGTCTGCGGAAGCCATGGCGGAAAACGACAAAGGCAGCAAGGAAGAATATAGGGACATAGACGCAGAGTTCTATAATGGCGATGACTTTTTAACTCAGGCCCATCTTAATTAATAAACGATGTACAGCTAGGGGATTAAGGAAACGAGAATGAAATGTAGGAGCGATGATATAACGACGTCGATGAAGCGATGAATATGATTCTAAATGATAGAACGAATTGAAAGAGAGTCTGTTCACTTAACCTTATACTCCTATCTCGTGCAGTTACCCTAACAATACTAAAGACATTTATACCTCCTCGCAATGTTGCAAATGGTCGATCTTCGAAGTAGCATTACAAACACTTTTGCGAGGCATGACCCTAAAGTAGCAAGCAGGATTGTAGTGCTCACCTTACGACAGCCCCCTCTCGCGACTATGGGGTCGTTTCAGTCAACCTGCACCGTGGACCCTAACAAGCATCGCTAGTGCCGCATCTAGTTGATTTACTGTAGACAGAGGAGTTGCGGGTACGCAGTTGAGTGGCTAGGTCGAGAGAGCCGAGAAACTACGCGGCAGGAATACGCAAGCCTGCAGATAACATGCGCCATAAAGTCTTATATCGAAGATCTACATGAATCATTGGCATTAGTGGTTAAAGTTCCAGGTTGCGGGCAAAGGAATTCTCGTATTTCCCGTGTTTGTTGAGCGGTTTAGGCGTCGGTAGGTGCAGACCACGCTACGAGCTTCCTTCCCGAAGAGCACTAGTGGCCCGATCGTCACAACCTAAAAGCTTGTCATCTTTGGCGCCAGGGTTAAACGGGTTCGCCCCTAATTGTTAATACTACTTTTGCCACCACGCTCCAGCTCATCGGCCACACCTTATCTACTCCGTTACTGATAGATGACCTATAGTCATCATTAGCCTCACTCTACCGCTAGTTTCACTACCGCTAGCTAGTAAGACTTAGCGTTTTCGTCTTGTTAAGTCATCCCTTTTAACTAGCAACGACGAGGCTTATATCATCCACTTAGCACCTCTAGACTTCTAATTTCTACGCATGCTACGACAGCCTAACCTTAGAACACCCCTATAGTATGAGTTTTGCTATGAAGCAAAGTAAAGGATGCGCACCGTGTCGAGCAAAGAGGACTAAGGTCAGTAACTTAGTCTCAACCTTCGCTTCCCTAGAGAGAGCTCTCTAAAGTCGAGACGGACGCTAACTTTAAGTACTACAGTGTAATTAAGCAAGGCCATCCTACAGTCAATGTATCCGAGCTAGACGCAGCTGTCATGGATACAAGGATCTATCAGAACATCGATTCGTTAATCAGACCTAGAAATTCGTCCGCTAAGGTCGTGCTAAATCGCCACCAACCGCAACTAGTTATAGCTTCATTTCTAGCGAGACTTCACCCTGCCGTTCATGTCCTAAGTCTAACAGTTATAGCTTCGCTCTCAGCTAGAGTTCATCCCGCCATTTAAGTCCTAAGTCTAAGGTCTTAGCTGAAATAATATCCCTAGCTTTGCGCGATTCCCTGGATTTCTAGGCCACGTGCTATTTCTTAAGAAACTATTCCTAGGAAGGAAGTCAATCTACTAAGGGATTTTTCGATTACATCCTAGACGTTATAAACTGCCAAGGGACCGTAGGAAGTGCTTTAACCAATGTGGTCATATCCCTTAGCATGGTTGGTATATCACATACTAAAAGCAACAATTCGAGTGTTATGCATGCAGCCAAAGTAAAGTATAATCGTGCAGTAAGCGCTACAAACAGCGCATTATGCACTCAAGATGCTAAAGCCGATCAAACACTCATTACGGTGATGTTATTAGGATTATTTGAAGTACGTGCTATGACGCCTGCTCTAAATCACATCTAACATGGGATGGTAGACAAATACATGCAATACTCCAAGGTCAATGAAATCTTGGACCTAGCACGTTAATGGCGCTGCACAGATCTTATATCTTCGTAGTAAAGAACAGCTTTAAACAGAGACAGGCCGCTAAATATTCTGCTACTTGCGGACCCAAATTGTAAGCCTCTTTCCGCAGAGCTTCAGCATCTAGTATTAACATTCGCAAAGGTGATCAACTCCATGCAAAGGCGTGTAGCAATTCCTGAAACCATCACCTCCTAGTCACTCTTATCCCTCCCTTATGAAGGGGGCGAAGACCTCACTACAAGCAAACTCTCCTTTCTAGTCATCGAATTCTGTAACCTACGCTCCCTCATGACCTCAATGCATGACTTCACTAACTCTGCCGCCATTGTATACGCCGCGTTGATGATCGAAGCTTCCCTTGCTGCCTAGGCGGCGGAAAGTCCATACGGCTACAACACCGTACCTCTCATAGCCCGCTCCGATGCCGTATTCGCGGATTATTATCACACATACTCTAGCATTTTAACTGCTACCTCTTAGAATAGCTACCGCAGCGTCCGCATTCTACTGAATGAACTTCTCATCGTCTAGCTGAGCCATCTATGCCAGTCCAAATTGCAGTACGAAGATGAGGATGAGGAATTCCCGAATCTAGCCGAGGACAGCCAATTCTTATTGCAACAGCAATATCAATCCCAGATATTCCACAGCCGCGCTCTCATTATCCAACTTACACAGGATATATGCGCGAGCGTGCCCTACTACCTCTGCGACGCGCCTTCCGGGAGCTATCTACTCACTGAACATCCACAATCAGAGCAGCTACCCCGTGCCGCCTATGGCAATTTGCTACTCTAGCAACTATTTACAGCCGCGTGCACGAATATGGTGTCGAATGTGATGAGGACGTGGGTAGTACAGCGGCTCGAAAAGATTGCGGATGTTATGGGCATTCAGTAGGCGAGGGCGTTGGCGATTTTACTGTGTTTGAGGAAAGATCCGCCTACATGGCATGACAGGGAGTTAACGATACAAGAAAATGAGACGACTGACGAGTGGTAATCGTAGTGTATTATGAGATATTAGATTTTGAGACTTGGAAATATAGACAGGTTGAATGACAGCTATGCGGGCATAGTACTGTATAAAAAGGAATACCATAATGAGTAAATTACCGTTGAGTCGTCTTGTAACAACTTGATGTCCGTCTGACTGCAAAATACCTCTTGTCTGGGGAAGAGGCCACCCTAATAACTGTCAAGACATGTGCTTGTGGGGGGTCAATTGTAGCGCAACTTGTTGACAATTCCGACTCTGCCACACTTTGCTTTCAACCACCATCTCAGGCAATTTAGCAATTAGACAGGAGCGTATCTGAAAACGCCATCCTGGCCAATACACGAGCCGTTTACATAAAGCGCAGAGAGAGAGACTCAAGGCGTCTGAAAGCCCGAATCCACTCTCCCTAGCAGCCCATACTAAGCTTCCATCCATCTCTACTTATCATCCTTCACCATCATGTACCTCTAAACTGTCACCATCATCGGCCTCGGCATCTCTGGTGTCATCCTCGCCCTCTCCCTTCACCATTTCTCGCCAACCACAATCCTTACTCTTATCTCCTATCACCAAAACTATATAGGCCCACTGACTCCCTGTAGTATGATCAATGTCATAAATAGAATTCAGTTTTTGACCGACGGCGGTGGGATTAAGACCATGGCTAGAAGCAATTAAAGTCCACATCTCATTCTGAAAGATTGCATTCCAGACTTTGTTGTGTCTCTCTTGAGATAGTGGTGTCGACGTCATGAGAGCGTGATATTGCGCCTTCTGACAGACGAGTAAGGTGAATGAATTGGACGGTGTTCCTTGCGGATAGAAAATGTCCTGTCCGAGAAGTGAAATAGATCGTATTTGAAGATTTATAAAAGCAGCATTGTCAATTCACCTGCGTGCCTGAAGTACCTGGGGTAATACTATAGGGGGCCACTTGGGAGTGGGTGTCCACCCAGAGAGTAGTTGGCCAACCTCACCTCCTGCAGCAGGGGAAGTGCACAGAAGATAGATGATAGAATCAGGTCAGCACCCTCATTGACGATGCTGCGCTATTCACTACAAATGCCGTGGACGGTTTTGTATATGGCCATGTATGAATAGTCATCTGCTTCATACCCCGCGTCGTACATATCTTTCGTTATATTCACGTAGCTGTCGGGAGTTAGGATATCGGATCTAAAACGGTCAAAATCTAGTATTTCTACTCGATTTCACTCAGCCGTATTTATCAGCAATACTCGCTTGGCCCTTCTTTGTCACAAGAGAGCCAACGGAGCATGAACTCGTAAGCGTCAGTTCCTGACTGTACCGACAGCAAGCTGAAAACATTCCATTTCATTCACAGCCCTGAACATCCGACAGCGAATCGTCGCATGCCCTTTCAAATAACGACCGGCAACTCGAAGCCACTCACAAGCATACGCCGGCACAGGTTAGCTGCAAAGGAACTAATGGCGATCTGGAAATTATGACTGCTGCGGGATATTCTTGGCGCTGCTGCATCCCGCAAGCTTGTTGTCGTAGTCTACGACGCGGTAACCGAATATGGCATCGTGTTGGACTGAACCCCTGTCAAAGCTCTGGACCATATGTAGAACAAACCAGGGAGGTGTACCTAAGAAACGTTGGATATATATATACATATACATATATGGTATTGTTAGACACTTGTGGATCGCTGGAGATTTGAACACGAGACGGATTCTAGGTAGATGTTGGCTTGTCGAATGCTATATAAGACGTCCTAATACCCTCCGAATTATCTCCAAACAGCAATCATCCCTCGTGGCCCACGTCTATCATAGCGTCGTGTCACCAAGGAAGCGGCGTGTGACATTATATTCTTCACTTGAGAACCTCTTTTATTTTCTATGACTTGTAGTTGCCGTCATTTACATAACTCCTCCCGGGCCTAATCATCA